TTATACTTACAATTATTTTAAATTTATTTTAATTGTTTTTTTTAATTTTGAAGTAAGGACTAATATATGATAAATAAATATTAATTATTAATCATTTAATAAATACTAATATGACTTTATTTCCATTTCAGGTATTACGAATGCAATTTTATCACTAAGGTCACTCGATTCATATGATTAAAATATATTTAATATAATTAACTTTATTTTTTTTCTATTGTATACATTTCAGTTTTTCTCACTTTATTTGTATACACTTTCAATTTGTTTTTCCCAATTTTCAACTATTTGTTAATAACGATATTAATAAATAATAAAAATACAACGCATAAAACAAATAAATGTGTAAATGAATTAATATGTTAGGACTAATTTATGTGAAACAAGACTACAAGGGACAAAATGATAATTAATCTAAATATATGACTAAATTAAATCATACCAAAAATTGAAATACACAAAATTATAAGAAATAATAGAAATGGACTAAATTGAATTATATATTAAATTGGAAGGACAACCAAGGGAATTTCTTCAAATCTATCAAAAGCACGCAGATCCTCTCTTGGATCTAAGTTGATCGGGGATTGTATTTTTAAAATGTTTATATCATAAATAAGTAATTAAAATATATGGTAAATTGAGATGAGACATTAGATTTCTCAAATAATGTTAGAAGTTTGAATTCTAACCATTGCGTAAGAAGAAAATTGGGTTGGGATGATTGTCATTACCTCTGCAGTATCTGATCTGGACTAGTCAATCAATAGATAAGATACATCGCCTAAAGTTCAATCAAAGTTCTGTCCTATAATTAATAAAATTGAAAGTTCAGTGGTATAAACGATACATCACCTAAAGTCTGATAGTATCTGATGTAGTTTATCTTAAAATAGATTCTATTTTTTATTTGAGTGTTTAAATATTTTTTTTAATCAAAATAAATAATTAAAGTTATTTTTTGTCAAAATAGGTATCTAAAGTATTTTATGTCAAAACAGGTACATAAACTATTCAAACTTTTTCATCTAAATTCTAAAAAAAAGTTGACATGTGGCATTAGTTAAAGAAAACTTTAGGTACTTGGATGAAAGAATTGAATATTTTAACTACCTATTTTGACCTAAAAAATATTTAAGGTACCTATTTTGACTAAAAAGATAACTTTAATTATCTATTTTGACCAAAAAATACTTTAAACACATAAATGAACAATAATATACTTTATGTACTTATTTATCATATAGATCTTTTTAAAACGATGCCGTTTTAGAATCTGAACTATTATTTTAAAACGACATCGTTTTAAGAGACTTATTTTTCATTTTAAAACATTTTTAACTTTTTCTCCCTTTCCCCTTTGGTTTCCTTTCTCCCTCTAACTTTCTTCTTTATGCCTTCTCTCTATAAATGTTATTTTTTATTAATACAAATGCTCTTTTTTTAAGACGAATATCGTTGAAGCCTCTTTTAAGGCTATAAGAGAAAAAGAGTACCCAAAGAACTATATTATAAAACCATTTGTCGGAATTGTCTTTCGATTCTGTTCCCCATAATTGGGCTTCGACGTGAATTGATTGGGTTAGAGTCACCACTGACCATTTTAAAACGAATTTAAGTGAGTCAGACACCATCTTACCTGATCTGCGTTGTACCGGAAATGTGTCGGGTTCGGGAGTCGGTTACGGTCAAGGAAGGATTCGCACCTTAAAGCGCCCTTTCGGTATCGATTAATTTTCGATTGTCTTATTTAGCGAAAATTAAAAATTTAATTGAAATTAAAAACTCGATTCAAATCACTTACCTTTGATTGACTGGAAGACGTACCCTTAAAAAGTCAGGACATTTGTTAGAAAAAAAAGGTGATTAAAATAAATAAGATAAAAAACAATTAACAAACAAATAAAATAAATAAGATAAGATAAAGAAAAATAAAATAAAATAAAATGAAGACAAATAGGATAAAAATAATAATAAGAAATATAAAGAAAAAAGAAACAAGGAAAAAATAAAAAATATAGATAAATAGGATAAATATAAAAAATAATAATAATAAAAAATATAAAGAAAGAAGAAATAAGGGAACAAAATAAAATACACAATAAATAATAAAAACTAGAAAGAAAAAACAGTAAAGATAGAAAAAAATAAAATAAAATAATAAAAAGTATATATAATGATGATAATAATAATAAAGGAAAGGAAAAAATATATACGTTAATAATGATAAATAATAATATATATATATATATGTAAATATGTATAAAAAAAGTAGGGAAAAAAGAAAATACAATAAACAAACGAAAAAATAATAAAATAATAAAGAATTAAAATAAAATAATATCGCATAAAAAATAACAATAAAATAGAAATAAATAAAAATGAAAATAAAAAAAGGATTAAATTAAAAGGGAAACAAAATTAAGGGATGAATTCGCAAAATATAAAAAGTGAAAACAGTGACTAAATCGAATAAATCAAAAATCCAAAGGCCAAATTACATACAATGACCAGATTGTAAGGCGATTCAAAAGTTGGGGGACGATGGAGCTAATTAAACTTTCCTCTAATTACACTCAAGTCCTCAGTATATACCAAAACTCTCTATTCTCCTCTCATTCTCACCATTTTGGCCAAAGCTCTTTTCTCTCTCTCTCTTCAAAAGGAGAGAACAAATTTCTTTTCAGTCGTCTCTTTACGTCTCTCACTGGTCCATCGCCCGCCGCCGCGGCCGGGCAAACCCAAAACACCCTAAAATGCTCACCTTACCCTCGAGATCCCAAATTTGAACCCCAAAACGTCAAAACCAAACCCCCTTGGCGTAGATCTAGGTTTAAGCCTTCGATTTTTTACCTTTCCCGGCGAACCTTTCGCTTTCCCGACGATATCTCCTCTCGGCTCCGACGAAAAAATGCTTTCTTTTCCGTTCTGTTTTTTGTTTTTGCTTTATGAATGATTTGTTTCCTGTGGTTTCGATGATTTTGCTTTCTGTTCTTGCCGTTGTTTGGTGATGTTGTGGTCTGGTTGCAGGTATTTTGGTTTACTGTGATGGGATTTTGTGTGTTGGCCGATGATCTTGGGTACTGCATTGGTATTGTGTATATCTCTGTGTGGCTTTGGTTTACCGTTCTTGTGTGGTTCTGTTCCCCCTCGTGACGTGGCTTTGCAAAGCATTTATAGGCCTTCACCGGTCGTTGTGGTCCCGAGAATAATTGTTCCGAGATCTTCGTGCATGTGTGACCGGTCATCCCGGGATGGGTTAGTCCCGAGACGCCGGCCGACCGTTTCGGGTTTGACCGTTGGTTTTCCTGCTGTGCGGCACTTGTGTTGACATGTTACCCGTCCTGCTAGGGTTTTGCAAACCCTCATTTGCACTGGGCTAGTTCAGACCCCAAACCTACTGGACCCGAACAACTTTGGATCTGAAACGAGAAAAGGAAAAAGAAATTAATAATAAATAAAAACAATAAATAATAAATAAGATAAATAAATAATAAAATAAATAAAATAAATAAATAGATAAGTAAATGAAAAACATTTTTTTAAAACTATTCAATATATGTTTTAAAAAATAATTTTCAAAATCATATAGTATATATTTTTAACAGAATAATTTTCAAAACTAGAATCTATATATTTTAAAAACTAATTTTAAAATTATATAAATAGATTTTTAAAAACTAATTTCAAAACTATATAACATATAATTTTAAAAACTAATTTTCAAAACTATATACTATATATGTTTTTCAAAAATGTTTTTAAAAACTATATATTATATATATATTTTAAAAAATATTTTTAAAACTATATAATATATGTTTTCAAAAAATGTTTTCAAAAGCTATATATTATATATTTTCAAAATATTTAAAAACCCATATATTATATAATTTTCTATATATATATAAATAGACGAAAATTGATGTCTACACCATTAAATCATTCAATGCATCAGAAGCAATAATCTCATAATAAACTAGGTAAAAAAAACAATAGTTTCCCCTACCGAAGAGCCCATGAAATCAACCGATAGGCAACCATATTACAATTGCGGGGAATATAATGAACAATAAAGTCCTCATTGCTATCTAATATATTAGGAGCCAAATATTAGGATCGGCATGGGACCCAAACCCGACGGGTTTCGATCCGACTCGATCGGGTCAGATTTTTTTAAAAAGAAATTTGGGTTCGGGTTGGGTCAGATTTTTTTATATTATTTTCGGGTCGGGTTCGGGTTTACGATGAAAAATACCCGACCCAACCCTAAAAAATATATAATTTTACTTATATTTGAGAATAATTACAATAATACACATATATATTATTTTTTTTTCAATTAAGTCACTATTTTTATTGAATAAAAATAATTTTTTTATTATTTCGGATCGGATCGAGTCGAGTTAAAGGTTGAAGACTCCTTGTTCTCAGGACGGATCGGATGGGCCAAAAACCCAACCCGACCCATGCCCGTCCCTACCAAATACTCATTCGATGGAGGGAGAAGGGTCGTATAATTGAGTAGGATTCATTGGGCTTGGTAGTTTGAGGTTTGGTGTAGAATCCGAGCCAAGTGGATGGGCCCAAACAAATTTGATTATGAAAATTGGACTTTTTTATCCATTGTGGAGAAGCAAAAATATGACAAATTAATGTTCGCCATCTTCCCTATAGATTTCGCTTTGTCCTTCAGATTCCTTGGTTCGCCACCGACTTTCGGACAAGTTTTTCTTCACATGGCCACATGAAAAACAAGTATCGGGTTATTAAGGTAAACATGTAACGTCATTGGGGCAGATCTACCCCTCTCTGTAAGGAAATCAAGTTCGAAAACTTTTTCCAGTTACATTACCAGTAACCTAGAGCACTTTCTTCTTGCACATGAACTCCAACAAACTTGGAACAAGAATCCATGCAATTATATGCAATATATAACTGAAAAATATCATTGGCAACTACAACAATTATATGTATTACTATATAAACTAATGTCTCTGTATCCTTAATTAGTTCATATATCTATGATGCATCTGTACGTAATATATAAGTTATTACAGGACATGATCGAAAGGTAACTAACTAAACTGCTAAAAGAAGTGCTGACACAAGCTATGGCATTGACAACGAGTCTTTTCATGTATATAAAATACAACTTTGTAACTATAGCGAGAGAAATCTTAAACCGGTAGCATCGAGCTTGTTCAACATTGGACTTCAAAAGTTTGCCTTTTTCTCGTATCCCCTCTGCTGTTGCTTAGCTTGCTGGGTCAATACCAGGCTCATCAATCTGCACCAATCAGTGTTCTAACATTGAAAATCTACTGTGTAATCAATAATCGAATCTTAGAAATGAAATTATTTGTGAAAATAATCACCAACCCTAAACATATGACACAAAATAAACGTGTAGGATATAATATTTATATAACACAGATGCTATGGTACTTAATCTTACCGACCACCTTTTTTCCTTTTTACTATAGTCTCATTGTAGACACCCGTTTTTGTCCGGGTTTTTTATCGTTATTTTATTATTATTATTATTATTTATTATTATTATGTTTTAATTACATATTACATATTTTACAGGCCAAAGCCCAATACAACAGGGCCCAACCAAGGCCCAACCAATACCCATCACTCAGCAGCCCAGTACCAAACCTAACTTAGGGTATCAGCATCCCAGCGCCGCACCAACATAGACCATTCGATCTGGACCCATCCAACGGTCCAGATCGATGGTAAATAGGGTTCATAACCCTAAGCCGATCCAGCCGTCGTCGCCTTTAGCTCTCAGCCGAGTGAGTGCCGCCGACGATCCCAAGCCACGCCGTGGTCATCCAGCTTCCAAACAGTAACTGAACGTCATCCACAGTGCTCAAATCAGTCAAAAAAATATATCAAATCTAAAACCCATTAAAGTATCATTCTAAATCCCGATTTTTCGGGATTCAATCGTACCAAATCAGAGAAACAATCCCCATACCCCGTAGGCTTCATGATTTCATTCAAAAACTCTAATAAATCAAGCATGTAAGGAGACAAGAGTTGGGGAGGAGGGGATTCGGTAAAAAAAAAAAAGAAAAAAGAAAAAATCCAGAGAGTTTCGAACCCAAAATAAAAAAGAAAAGAAAAGAGAGAAGAGGAGAGGATCTCACCACGGTTTGGAGGTCGAGAAGCCCGACGGTCGTCTGTTGTCAAAACTTTCGAAGGTAAAACTCTCAGATTTAGAGAGCTAGGGTTACCTTTAGGTCGAGATAGTTGGGGATCTAGTGGAGAGTGAAGAGAGGAAGGTTTTGGAGGGTTTTTCTCCATCTCCGGCCACGTTCGCCGCCGCGAGCACCGCCGCGGGCGTAGCGATGGTGGACCATCTCTTCTCCGTTGAGAAGGTTGAGAGAGTTTTCTCTCTCCCTCTCTCTGTTTAAGCAATGAAAGAAATGAGGCTTAGACCGAATTTTGGCCTGATTTTGGTCATTTATACGCGGACCAGAACGGCGTCGTTTTGAGGGGACGAGTTCTGTAATTTCACGCATGGGGTAACTACGCTTTTGGTCCCTGATGCTTTGTAACCGTGTTATTTAGCCATGGAATGAAGTTTACATTATTTCAATTTGAGCCTTTATCTTTTCATTTTTATATTTTAGTCACTATCCTATGTTATATCACATTTTGTTTATATTTGGTTCTGGTTTCAGTATTTGTAAATGTTACATCTTAGCCACTGATTTAATATTTCATGTATGTTTCTTTGATATTCGAATCTGGACATCACATTTATAAATATTTTATCTTAGTCCCATTAATGTATGTTATGTCATTTTTGTGGATATTTGACTTTGGTCCCAATGATTGTAATAGTTTCATTTTAGTCATTAATTTCGTGTGTTGTGTATTTTTGTGAATGTTCGAATCTGGACAGGATATTTATGTATTTTACATTTTAGTCACTGTTGGGTATTTGGTTTAATTATTGTTCAGTCCCTCAAGCTATATATCATACTATTTTTGTTTATGTTCGATTTGGTTTTAATATTTACAAATGTTTCATTTCAGTCACTGAATATTACCTTTCTTTATTTTAATTAGTATTTTTAATTTACTTTGTTTACATTATGGTCAATGTTTTAGTATAAATACTTTAGGCAAATTTATTGTTTGCCCTTTACGAATTTATGATTTAATTTGTTTTAGTCCCTTAATTACTTATTTTTGTATTTTATTTTGGTTGTAATGTTATTTATTTTTATTTTAGTCATTTATATATGAATGTATTTACATATTACATGGTTATTTGTATTATGTAAATAATGTGTTTACTTCCATTTAATGTAAATGTTTATATTTCCAATTGCATTATTTTCATTATATTTGATTTTATTGTCAGAACACGTATGTGTAGAATGGGCGTGGAAAGTATCACTTGATCGAAGTGGTGTGATCCGGTACGGCATTTTAACGACATAGAAACTTGAAATAAGTCGAGTATATTTTGCTAATTAATTTGTTCAAACGATGCAATGTGTGTTATTTTAAGTGACAATTTATTTTATTTTATGTGAATGTAAATTTCAAATTTTTTAATTTGTAATCAATTCACGTTTTAGTTAATCAATTTACTCGTGTGTAAACATTGTTTTAGTTATATTTGATTCGCATTTTTACATAATCAATGGTAGAATATTCTTTTACAAAAGAGAAATAGTTGAAATAGCTTTCCGACGGAGGATTGCAAATTTCAAGATTCTTATCGAGTTAAAGGATTTTCTTTAAATAGTTAACTCGAAGTAAATTAATTAAATTTCAATAAATGGATCATAAATTAACTTTATATTCAATTTGTAATTTCCACCATTATGACAATGTGTAAGCGACACAGTACCAATTTTGGGCGCTGTGGGGTGCTAATCCTTCCCCACGCGTAACCGACTCCCGAATCCATTTTAATGAATCTTCGGTAACGCAGACTTTTTGTCTTAAAAATGATTTTTCTTAAAGTTGTTTTAAAAGACGTTTTTAGGTATTCGGTCTACCTAACCCAAAGGTCGATGGCGACTCTTTTTAATTTTATTCAAATCAATGCAAAATCACCCATTTTTCCAAATTGAAGTCATAATTGTTTTTTAAAAAAATAATAATATTTTAATTGTTTTAAAAAAAATGGTTATGACAGCTTGGCGACTCTGCTGGGGACCTTTTTTTAGAGAGTCAAGCTGTAGGTCGCTTACACATTGTCGTCTTAGTGGAAATTATAAGTTTGAGCACATAGTTAACTTATGATCCGTTTATTGAAATCTTTAATTGCTTCGTTTTTTGTCATACTAACATTTTATTTTTGGCTTTCAGCTTTATCAAGATTTTATCATTTTTTTCCTTGTTTTGTTTTCCTTTTGGGTCGAAGGTAGGTATGTTCCTCCTCACACACATCACTCGCATTAGCATAACATAAGCTCTAGAGACGAGCTTCGATCCAAATTAGTCGGGGTGAATGCTTTACTCTCGTAAGAATTTATTCTTCGTATGAGTTTTAGCAAATAACCCATGGGATACATACCTTATACCTTCGTAGGGATTTATTCCTCGTATGGGTATAAGACAGTGAATCCCCTCGAATTGAACTCGTTCCGCTTGAAACCTGTAATGGGTAAGGATCGAGGGTCTGGCAGCCCAAGGGGGCACCGACATCAAGGACAATTCGAGTACCCTTTTCCCCGTTAGAGCCGAAACCAAGCATATAGTGAACCGTCGAACGATCACCCTAGGTATAGTCATACCGAACCTTTGTCCGTCATTAGGTACCTAAAATAGGTGTACACAAAGGAGGAATATTTCTAAACCCTTATCTTTTGTTTTAATTTCGTAAATTTATTTCTTTTTGATAAAAGCATGCGAACTAGATACCATGCGGTTAGGACCATTTTTTTTGAAATTATTCATTTTGGGTAGATAACATGTACGGGTAGGACTATTATCTATTTAAAGCATGCTCGGGTAGATATCATGATGGGTAGGTGTTATATTCATCTTTTAATAACACTTTTATCTACATTGATTGTCTTACCTGTACTAACTAATTCTTTTATTTCTTTGTGTGCACTAACTTATTTATTTTATGATGTTTTGTTTTTTTCATTCTTCTTTACATTGCATCATCATAACATAATGCGAAAATGTTGATCAGCAAGGGGATATTCGAGAGAAAATTTTCACAAGAAGAGATAAAAGTTTTCAACCAAGCAGTCGCGTACACAGACATGCACCGAAGGCTAAAAAGAAATGCACAGAGTACGAAGGAGACTTGCTCAAGACGATCGTGCAACGTTCGAGAATAAAATGATGAGCCACTGATCCGATGAGTGATCCAGCAGTCGATTTTTATCTACGATCATTTCATCGCTATTCATCAAGGAGCGGCACACTGACTTCCGCACCACTGGGGCATTAACAGAGTTAGGTTACAGAATGTTTTAGGGGCATCAGTTCCAAATACAAAGATCCGAGACAAAGCAGTGAGCTCGAAGATCGTGCAACATTTAAGACTGAAGTCTGGGGATTAATCCAGCAGTAGATTTATTTACGATCGTTCCGATGTTATTCATCGAAGAGTGATGCACTGACTTCAGCATCGCCGGGGCATTAAAAGAGTTTGTTTACAGAGCGCTTGAGGGGCATCATTATTAGGACGAAGATCCGATATGAAGCAGTGACCCATTTCAGACTCAGCATCTAAGCGAATGCATGTCTGTAAAGTGGATTGTCTTGTGAGACGAAGGCTTTTATCTCTGGTGAAATTGTTCTAAAATATTCACTGTTGGGATCAACATTTCTGCAGTTGCATTTGCATCGTTGCATTTTGCATAACATTCATTTAAGCATGTTTACATGCATTAATCATACCTTGCTGGAAACTTTGAGGAAGCACTTCTAACTGTGCAATTGCATTCACACAGTATTGAAAATGGATGCAAAATTTGAGGAATTGAAGAAGGAGTTGAACGAGAGTTTGCAAAAGTTGCAAGCAGAATGGGAGGTTAAAATGGAGCAGATGCAAAAGACCACCGTGGATCGTATCTTGCAAAACCAAAAAGACCTATTTGACCAAATGGTAGTAAAGATGGCTGAGCTCAACCAAGAAAAAGGATTCCTAGTCACCAAGCGACGAGAAGAGCCAAGAACGAGATCCCAGAGAATTTGAAACAGTGGTGCAGAGAGACATTCCATGGAATGAGAGGACAAAATTCTCACAACAGGATGGATGCAACGGAACTAGTACTAGTTCCCGACTTGGTG